GAAGGAAGGAAGGAAGGAAGGAAGGAAGGAAGGAAGGAAGGAAAGAAAGAAAGAAAGAAAGAAAGAAAGAAAGAAAGAAAGAAAGAAAGAAAGAAAGAAAATTTTGAAGAGCTTGCAATACTGCAAGGTTGTTGGTCAACGGAAAGCACTTCTTTTATTTTATTTGTTTGCTTATTGTTTGTTTGTTTGTTTGTTTGTTTATTATTGGATGTTGGTCCTGCTCTTATTATTTTATAAGCAACTCAAGGTAGTACACACACACCCAACTTTCTCCTCTTATTTTTCCTACAACAACAACCCTGTGAGGTGGGTTGGCTCAAAGTCACCAAGCCAGTTTTCAGACCTAAGGTGAGACTACAGCTCTCAGTCTCCTCACCCACCTGGCTTTCATACCTAAGGCGGGACTAGAACTCCCCATTTCCTGGTGATTGGCCCAAAGTTACCCAGTTGGCTTCTATACCTAATGTGGGACTAGAACTCACCGTCTCCTGGTGATTGGCCCAAAGTCACTCAGACAGCTTTCATGCCTAAGGCGGGACTAGAACTCCCCATCTCCTGGTGATTGGCCCAAAGTTACCCAGTTGGCTTTTATGCCTAAGGCGGGACTAGAACTCACCGTCTCCTGGTGATTGGCCCAAAGTCACCCAGCTGGCTTTCTTGCCTAAGGCGGGACTAGAACTGAGTGTCTCCTGGTGATTGGCCCAAAGTCACCCAGTTGGCTTTCATGCCTAAGGCGGGACTAGAACTCACCATCTCCTGGTTTCTAGATTGGCCCTTTCACCACTCCACCAACCCGGCTTGATGGTGACTGTAATATAATTCACGATATAACCGGGTTTTGAAAGAAACAGATCAAGAAGGCGTCTTCCGATGTCCATCACAAGTTTGTCTATAAACAAACACCCCAAACAGCTCACAACTTACTCACTTGGGCAGTTTCTCTTCCCTTTCAAGAGTCACACCAAGGTTGGATCGCCTCTCTTGCTCCTTCTTCAAGGTTTCAGACAACCTGTACAGGTGTCCCGGCAGCAAAGACACGGATGCTGGGATCTTCATCTAAGGATAATAATGGAAGACAGGCTAAGTCAACACATTAACAGAGCTGGAAGGGACCTTGTAGGTCATCTAGTCCAACCCCCTGCCCAAGCAACAGACCCTACACCATTTCTGACAAATGGCAGTCCAGTCCCTTCTTAAACGTAAAAAATCTATGTTTTTAAAAACATTCAGAGGTAGTCCTCGGCTTACGAGCCTAAAATTGAGCCGAAAAATTTTCTGTTGCTGAGGGTGACATTTGTTAAGTGAATTGTCAGGACTCCAATAAATCCACCTCCATTCAAATCATAAGTCTCTAGCCGCATCTCTCAGAGTAAAATAATTGATTTATTAGGAGTGACCATGTCTGTGCTAGCTGGGTACAGCCGACACTAAAATACCACATTCATTTTCCCCTTGACCCTGGATGTATATTCTCCAATGGGACACATCCATAGCCAAGAGTCATCAATCATGCTCTCCAGTAATATTCTTGTGTGCTGACAGCTTTGGGCTGCCAAGATGATTATCTGAGGCATTTAAGGAATGCACTGCTTTCCTCCCACTCCCTTTCTGCTGGCAACTAAAAAGACCAAAGGAGTATTTTTTCAGTTGACATTCAGCTCCCCTCACTTCTTGAAGGTGACCTGTAAAACACAAAAGAAAACAAACTTATTGCAGGTATAGAACTTAGGGTTGTGAACCGCCCCCAGGTTTTGTTGGGTTTTCTGCATGGAAACCTCATCACAATGGACATTCCTACTCTTTACCCAAGGCTGAGGAGAGCGAGGAGTAGACTGCTGCCTTCAGAGATTGTGGGGGCTGGCAGCAGCAATGAGGAGGTTCCCGAGGAGCCTGTGCCAAGTGCATGTGCACGAAGGATTACTCGGAGGAAAGAACAGTTACAGAAGCACAGGCAACTCGGGAGTAAGGCTGCAAGGTAATGGCCCCTCCTTGCAGAAGGCAAAGACGCTCTGAAGCTCAGCCTTGTGGACATTATAGTTAATATTTGAAAATTCTTGTAGCTATTTTCTTATCTGTGGGTTTTTGGCAGCCTTGAACAACAACTTGGCAAGGCTCTTTCTTGTCTGAGCTAATTAGTTGGAAGCAGCCTTTTATTTGTGAAGAAACAGAATTCGTAGATTAAACTTTAAAAGGTTTAATCAGCCTTTGTCTTGTGTTTGTTCTTTTGGAACCAGGTTGGGTCAGAACAGCAGTTGATAAGTTAGTAATCTGTTTGTGAAGGTATCCTGGTTTCCCTGTGGATCTCCCGCTTGTCAGAAGGTCACAAAAGGGGATCGCGTGACCTTGGAACACAGCAATGGTCATAAGTATGAGTCAGTGGCCAAGTGTCTGAATGTGGATCACGTGATCATGGGGAATGCCAGAAAGATCTAAGTGTGAAAAACCGGTGATAAGTCACGTTTTTCAGTGCCATTGTAACTTTGAGCAGTCGCTAAATTAACTGTTGTAAGTCGAGGACTTATCTGTGTAAATCACCTTCATGTTTGTTCCAAGGCTCTTTAATTTGGAAGAAAAGTCACATAATTCCAGGTTGAGCCCCAAATTTCTGTTGGTAAGCACAGCAGCTATTAAAGTCAGCTTTGCTGCCAATTGCAACCTGTCTTACCGCCGTTGTTATGCGAATCACTGCTGTTGTGAAGGTTTCATACAGGTTCATGCCGACATGTTCATGCCTAATAAATCCTTTGAAGTTTTTGAAGCTCAGCTCAAGGCTCATGGCTTAATTAGGGCAACGGCCGGAATCCTGTCCAATGCGGTCGCTAAGTGAATCATTGACTTTGCTGGTCAGAAGATCGTAAAAGGGGAAACGGATGACCCTGGGACACTGCGACCATCATAAATATGGGTCAGGAGCCAAGTTTCTGAATTTTGACCGCGTGACCATGGAGATGCGCCAAGCTGAGGTTGACTTCCCGTTCCATTTTAAACATTGATCCCCTGCTGCTCTTGTCGCAATTTAAAATAAACAAGTACAAGTCATTCCAGAATGATTTATTGTGTCAACTAAAAAATACTTCTTTGGTCTTTTTAGTTTACTTTTAACAGAAAGGGGGTGCGGGAAAGTAGTGCATTCCTTAAATGCTTCATATAATTGCTAGGTGGCCGAAGCTGTTGGCGTGCAAGATTATTACTGGAGAGCATGATTGGCTATGGATGTGTCCTATTGGAGAATATACATCCAGTGGGTGGGGGAAAGACCAGGGTCAAGGGAGAAATGAATGGTGTGTCTTAGTGTCAGTTGCACCAGGTAACGCCAACATGGTCACTCCTAATAAATCATTATTATTTTTTTTCTCTGAGAGGCTTATGATTTGAATGAGGGGGTCTATTGTCGGAGCCCTGACATATTGCTTAAGAAGGCTGGCAGAGAATAAACGATTCCCTACCTCCACCATGGTGAGTATAAAACCTTTCCACATTTCTTGCTGTTCCAGGCTTTCCATCTGTAAAGGAAAAATGAAGCCTGTGTAAGGTAAGAATTATGCCAAGATTAGAGTTGTGGAATCATAAGAGTCAGTGGTGGGATTCAGCCGGTTCGCGCCGGTTCACAAGAACCGGTTGTTAACTTTCTGAGCAGTTTGGTGAATTGGTTGTTGGAAGACATCATTACGGCAGAGAACCGGTTGTTAAATTATTTGAATCCTACCACTGTATAGAGTCCTACGGTTTGAAAGAACCTTGGAGGTCATGAAATCATGGAGTTGCAAAGGTGGTTGTGGAATCATAGAGCCATAGGTATGGAAGGGACCTTGGAGGTCATGGAATCACAGAGTTACAGGGTGAGGAGAAGCAACCTTGGAGATATGGAATGACAGTTATGGGGGTTGCAACAGAGGTCGTGGAATCATAGAGTCACAGGGTTGGAAGGGACCTTGGAGGTCATGGAATTATGGAATTACAGGGTTAGGAGAAGCAACCTTGGAGATCATGGAATCCCCCAGTTATGGAGGTTGCAACAGAGGTCATGGAATCATTGAGTCACAGGGTTGGAAGTTACAGAAATGGAAGCAACCTTGGAGGTCATGGAATAATAGCTGTAGGGGTTGTAACAGAGGTCATGAAATCATAGAGCCAAAAGGTTAGCAGGAACCTTGGAGGTCATGGATTAATGGAGTCATGGGGTTGCTGTGAATCATAGAGCCACAGGGATGGAAGGGACCATGGAGGTCATGGAATCACAGTTATATAGGGGTTGCCATGCAGGTTTTGGCATCTTCGAGTCACAGGGGTGGAAGTGAAGCTACAGTATCATGGGGTCACAGGTTTGGAAGCAACCTTGAAAATCAGGGAATCGTGGAGTAATAGGGTTGCAAGGGAAGTAATGGAATCATAGAGTCACAGGGTTGAAATGGACCTTGGCCATCTTGGAATAATAGAGTCACAAGGTTGGAACCAACCCTGGAGGCCATGGAATCATAGAGTCACAAGGTTGGAAGATACCTTGGAGATCACGGAATCAAGTGCCATAGAGTTTTATAAGAGACCATGTAGTTCCACACAGGACTCCTTCAGACTATCTGAGATAAAACGGACATCCAATCTTAGCTGAAGACCTTCCAGTGACGGAGCCCACAAAATTCTAGAATTAATTTTGTTTTGTTGTGATTTAGATTCTAGATTGGGGGGCTGGGGGGGATCCTCACAAACTTGGCCACTTTAAGGCTTGTGGATTTCAATTCCCAGGATTCCTAAACCAACATGGCTAGCTGACTAATTCTGGGAGTTGAAGTCCACAAGTGGCCAAATTCGGAAACCCCTTGTTCTAGATTAATCCAGCCTTTTTCTAGCAGGATACAAATACCGACCAGGGTTTAAAGTAAAACAATAATAATAATTAGAAGATGATATGGTTTGGAAAGATTTTGCATCTTGCTCCAGTATACCACAACCACGTGCACAACCACGTTTATTTGAGGAACACCTCCTGGGTGGAGTATAATCCCTTCGTAACAAAAAAAAAGAAAGAACATACATTACCCTCAACTTTATTTCTTGGTTCCGCATCTTCAGTGTCAGCCCTGGTTTTTCTGTAGACATTGGACTCACACTTTTTGGACAGCTGTCTTCAGTCAGGGAGACCAAGTCAGTCAGATCGATTTTCTCAATATACTGGAGGTGAGGAAGAACAAGCACAAAACCTTTGCCAGACCACTTCTCGAATACAGCTTGTCCGCCTGGAACCCACACAGTATATTGGACATTAACACGCTTGAGCGGGTTCAGAGGTATCTATCGAGAAGAGTCCTCCACTCCTCTACTCACCATAGAACTCAACTATGCCTCCAGGCTCAAAATTTGGGGCCTGGACAATTTGGAACCACACCACCTGCAGTCCGATCTAAGCATAGTACGCAAAATTGTCTGCTATAACATCATGTCAATGACTTCTTCAGCTTCAACCACAATAATACACGGGCAAACAATCGATACACACTCAAGGTAAACTGCTCCAAACTCGAGGGCAGAAAATATGACTTTCAGCAACAGAGTGGTCCACGCCTGGAACGCTCTACCCGACTTCCGTTGTCACATCCTCAATCCCGCACAGCTTCAAACTGTCTACCGTGGAGCTCACTCCATTTCTAAGAGGTCCTTAAAGGGAGTGTGCATACATGCACCAGCGTGCCTACCGTCCCTGTCTTACTGGGCCCCGTTTATCTGTATTTACTCCTTTTGTTCATGTTAATGTTCATATCTTTACTTGTTCTCTCGTACACGTTTGACAAACCAATATAAATAGAAGTCAGTTTCCAAGCTTCTGGTCCTCAAGGTTGAAGTTTATCCAAGTCAGCTGCCACAGCTAGCTTTCTTTCTCCTTGTTTACATTTCTTTCCACCGGGTCAAACAGTTTCTTCTTTGGCCCAATAACTTTTTTCAAGATTCGAACAAAGGGGTTACGTCACTAGGATGTCAGCGTTCTGACTGACGAACCCAACCAAAGCAAGCATGGTCGAGACGATCCAATCTCCAAATACAAAACTTTATTGAGTACGTTGTTTCGGCACCGGTGAGTGCAAAACCAGACCCAGCTAATTCTCATGCAAAGCCACATCATTAAAATAAGTGGTGGGATTTAATTTTTTTTTACTACCAGTTCTGTGGGCAATGCTTGGTGGGCATGGCTTGGTGAACTTGGCAGGGGAAGTTTCCTGCAAAATCCCCATTTCCTCCCCACCCCACTAACCTGCTTTCCAGCTCCGTTCTCCTGTGCAAGGCAACCAAAGAAGACCCAGCCAATCAGCTGAGAATCAGGAGACAGAGAATCGGTGGGGGTAGGGCCAGTCAGAGGCGGGATCTGTTGGTTCTCTGAACCAATCAAAATTTCCACTACCAGTTCTCCAGAACCGGTCAAAACTGGCTGAACGCCACGTCTGATTAAAATATAGGATTCTCCCTCTCCCCTATTAGAGCCGGTCACATTGTCCAATGTGTTGTCTTTGTGTTGTTATGAGACAAAGTCTTTGGTTTTGGCAAACACCTGACCAAGTGTCCTTGGCTCTCACAGCTCACCTGGAGAATACATTCCATGTCATTTGCACACCACACAACACTGCACTGTACTTACCTGACTTTCTCTGTTGGTGTGATAGAAATACAGCATGGAGCCCCAAAGTCCAGCCCAGTATTTCTTATAATCCTATTAAAATAAAAGAGAACAGAGGAAGGATTAAATGGGATTCTCTTGAAATGGTAAAAGGGCTTTGATCGATCTTACAATCCTGTCCTCCATCTTGACTTTTTTGCCCCAACTGCAGTCAAGAACAGATTGGACTCTTTTTTTCTTCTTCTTCTTCATTTTTCTTTGCAATTTCTGGGATTTCCAGAGAGAAAAATGTTCCGTTGAAGTTCCATGTTTTACAGGTAGTCCTCATCTTACGACCGCAATTGAGCCCACAAGTTCACGTTGCTAAGTGAGACACATGTCGTGAGTTTTTGCCCCATTATATGACCTTACTTGCCACAGCTTTGAATTATTGCCCAGGTGGCTATTATGCCTAAGGCAGGACTAGAACTCAGAGTTTCCTGGTTTCTAAGCCAGCACCTTAACCTGGGTGGCGGTGGGGTGATTTTATTAGATTAATTTATTATACGACTCTTCTTTTATTATTTTTATTGTTTTTATATGAGTTTTTTTTTAAATTCTGTAAGATGCCTTGAGTCACCATGTGTGAATGGGTGGCAATAGAAATTCCCTAACTAAATAAATACCATGTTTTCCCAAAAATAAGACTTTATTTATTTTATTTTTTTTGCCACCCAAAAAAGGCTCCAGGTCTTATTTTCGGGGGAAGGCCTCCACTGACTAACTTCACTTGCGCGCGTCGCCCCCGGCTTCCTTTTCGTGGTCAGAGGCCTTCACAAACTTCTTCTGTGGCCGGCAAGGCTTTCCTGAAAGCTTCTGCAGCCGATAATGCAGCTTTGGATCGATCCAGAGCTTTGTTATCAGCTCCAGAGGCCTTCGGGAAAGCCTTGCCAGCCTTGCTGGCTGCAGAAGAAATGAGCCGGCAAGGCAGGTGTCGGGGTGTGCGAGGCCTGGCTACAACTGTCCAAAGGTAAGTAGTAGGGCAGCTCCACCTCCCCATCCACACCCTAGCTTAATTTTTACCTGTCCACTCTGGAGTGGGTGGAATCTTAATTAAGGCTTATTTTGGGGCAGTAGGGCTTATATTGGGTGCATGCATAAAAATCAAGCTAGGACTTACTTTCAGGGTAGGTCATATTTTGGGGGAAACAGGGTCCACATAACAGACTCGCATTTCCCTGCCATCACGGTCTGTTATTTTTGTAAGTTACCAAAACATGTGATGACCAAATGATTAGAAAAACAGAAACCTGAGACATACGAAATACAAAGTCCAGTTTTTGTGTACCACCGTCACTGAATGACACCGATCAGCCACTGAGGCCAATGGCAGCCAGGCCAAAGAGTTATCAAAGTTTATTTTCACGTCATGAGCCAGAAACAAAGAGCTGGAGGGGGGGGTCAACACGCCAACTTGAGGGGCTCTGAATTAGCGGATAGCTTTTCCAACAGCTGTTCTGTGTCTTCCTGCCAGCCTGACCAGGTAGACCAGTCAGGAAAAGTGACCTGAGGCTCATTTTACAAAGTGACCGAATCTTGCACGTCTTGACTGTACAATTTTGTCCCTGTTTCAGTCTCCTTTACAGCCTGAGAAATGAGGCGGGGTCTTCTTCTATCTGTTATGCGGCAGAGGGCTATGCGGCCTCTTATCCAGGGGTGGGCTTCTGGGGGTTCATAGAGGTTCGGAAGAGCCCCTTAGCTAAGACTCTGTGCAGTTTGGAGATCCCCCCAAATCCCACTCCTGGCTGGCCCCGCCCACCCTGCCCCGCCCTTCCCAGGAGTTCCCCCCGTGGCCCGTTTTCAATGCAGGTAAGTGCAGGCGCATGTGGAGACTTGGGAAGGGTGAAAAACAAGCCTCCCGGAAGTTCTGGAAGGCCGAAAATGGGCCCCGTTTCTGGCTTCCAGAGAGCCTCCGGAGTCCGGGGAGGCTGTTTTCACCCTCCTGGAGGCTCAAGGAAAGCCTCGGGAGCCCGGGAAGGGAAAAAAAACACCTCCCTTCCCGCTGTGGAGTAGAAGGCCGACTAGGCCACGCCCACTATGGCCAGGCACATCCAGCAACTGAGCAGAGAACTGTTTGCTAAAATTTTTGGAGCCCACCCCTGCTCTTATCTGACTGTTCCCTAGCTAAAATGTATTACCCCCCCAAATCTCTTATACAGCCTGAGAAACTAGGGA